ATGCATTTTAATAGAACAGTATGAAAAGTTCACTGGTAAGGTTTCAGATTCCACAATGCAACTAACATTTAAAGAAACTACCACTTGTCAGAGTTTTGGTGCAGTATCAAGCAAGAATACTGACTTATCTGAAAAGGCTATTAAAATACTCCTTCAATTTCCAACACAACATATCGCAAAAAGTGAATGCAAAAGCACCTATGAGAAACCAGTTGTCTTTTATTAAACCAGATATTTTAAAAGTTTGTAAAATGTAAAACAGCGACACTATTATTGCCAAACGTTGTTTGTCTTGGAAAATAAATTTATGGTTTTTTTTTAAAAGTTCTTAGTTTTAATTTCTAATAAGGAAAATGTTGAGAGATATAGTCCATATATGAAAAAAAGCTCTGGAGAGAGAAAATCACTAACTAGAGAGTAGACAAGGGTCAACTGTGGTGAAGGGAAAGACAGCACACAATATAGCGGAAGTCAGCACAACTTGACCAAGGCAAAGTCACAGAAGCTTCCTAGACACATCCAAATACCTTGAGGGACCGCGTTGCTGGGCCTGAGGGCTGGGGACCATGTCTTGGAAGACATCTAGGTCAACTAGCATAACACAGTTCATAAAGCATGTTCTACATCCTACTTTGGTGAGTAGCATCTGGGGTCTTAAAAGCTTGTAATGGTCCCATCCCATCCAGAGTAAATGAGAATGAAGAAAATCAAAGAAAAAGGAAAATATTAGTCCAAAGGACTAAAGGACTACATGAACCACATCTTTCAACAGTCTGAGCCCAGAAGAACTAGATTGTGCCCGGCTACCACCATAGACCGCTCTGACAGGGATCACGATAGAGGACAGAGTGGGAGAACAAATGTAGAACAAAATTAAATTCACAAAAAAAGACCACACTTACTGGTCTGATAGAGACTGGAGGAACCCCCAAGACTATGGCCCCTGAACACCCTGCTAAGAACTGAAGCCACTCCTGAAGCCCACTTCTCAGCCAAAGATCAGACAGGCCTATAAAACAATAACACACGTGAGGAACATGCTGTTAGTTCAATCAAGCATGTAAGACCCAATGGGCAACTCCGTCCAAAAGCAAGATGAGTAGAAGGGACAGGAAACCTAGACAGATGGACATGGGGAACCCAAGGTGGAAAGGGCGAGAGTGCTGACACATTGTGGGGACTGCAACCAATAACACAAAATAATTTCCGCTGTAAACTTTCACCTAAACCACAATAAAATAAATAAAAAGAAAAGAAAAAAACCTCTTTGGAGAACTCAATAATTTTAAGAGTAAAGAGGTTTTGAGACCAATAAGTTTGTGATTTGCTATTCTAGACAAAGTATACCAGTACCAGTTGCCATCAAGTCGATTCTGACTCATGGTGACCCCTTATGAGTTAGGACAGAACTGTGCTCCATAAGGTTTTCAAATGGTGATTTTCCGAAAGCAGATCGCCAGGCCTTTCTTCCAAGGAGCTCTGGGTGGACTTGAATCTCCAACTTTTTGGTTAGCAGCTGAGCACGTTAATCGTTGGCACCACCCAGGGACTCCAGACAAAGTAAACACCATAGAAGAGGTTAGAGGCCTTTTAGTTGATTGAAAAGCTATTAAAAGGCTCCAAGAATGCACCTGACTACATAAATTAATAGAACAGTGTGCAGAACAAGGGAGATTATGGGTGCAGCCTGTCCTACACAGTGCTAACTGGAGGCACCATGTTTTAAGTAGAGTATCTCATTTAATTCTCTCAACAGCCCTACAGAGGAGTTTCTACCTCACATTTGGGGAAATGAAGCCCAGAGAGGTAAAGTAGCTTGCTACAGATCAGCTAATAACATGGCAGAGCTGACACTCAAACTCTGGTCTGCCTGAATCCACAGCCAGGGTGTTTTGCCTGCACTGTTTCCCAGAGATCTCTTAGTAAATCTTTTCATAATGAATTGAAATCAAGCACTGGTGATCATGGTAATGTTGGTGGAACACTGGGGAGGGAAGAAAAAAGGATGACAACTAAACTTAACATCTGACAGGTAAAAGGGATTTTAGAATAAGCTTTTCAATACCTTTACAATTCTACTATCAATGGAAACAGCTAACTTTTTTATATACTGCTTTCCTTCTCAATATAAGTCTTAACGTATAAGCCTATACATTCAGGCAGAGATGACAAGCTTAAGCCCCCAAGACACAAAGGCTAGAATTCAACTCTTGCTACCTCCAAGTTCCGATCTAGTTCTCAGAGTTGATTTTTTTTTTTTTTTGTTAAGCACTCATAAAGCTTTGTTGCAATTACTCTCCACTTTATCACCAATGACAGGCGAAAAATAATTAGCAAACTGCAAAACAAAGTACATTCAAGATCTGTTACAATCAACTCTTGAACATTTGCTTTTGAGCAACTACTAAGTCTCTGGTTCTCTCCTTGGCTGCTGGCACATTCCACATGCCTCCAAGTATAGGACTGGAAAATAAAGCATCTGAAATTCAAGCCATTCAACAGTGCTTCCTGACAACTGTTCTGATTATCAAACACAACCACAAAATAAACTTACAGGGAATATACACCTATCGATTAATACTAAGTTTTTAGATTATAACTGTACATTTCAGACCTGGATCACCTATGACCCAAGTGGCTAAGCGTTGAGACCTCTTATCTAGTCTAAGGTGTTTTAGACTAGGAGGAAGATGCCTCCCAAAAGTACCAAACAAAACAACGTGAGGCTGGCCTTCCATAGGAGGAATCTTTAATGCTCAAGCAGTGTATCTGGATGTCAGCAAACAACAGCGCTGAGACATTTGTTGATACAAGCATAATTCAAACAGCAATAAAAATTATCATTAAAGGGTATCTAGTCAACTACAGGGTCGCTACGAGTTGGAAATGACTCGACAGCAAGGGGTTTCGTTTTTTTTGGTTGGTCAACTATAACACCGTATTGCTAAATTTCAGATGGCAATAACTGATAACTCCTGATCTCCTAAAATTAAAAACAGTGACGCTTTGGAATACAAAAGCTTCTTCAGAAACCACACCACTCCATGCTTGGTCCTCTGTGAAGTTCCCTGACCCACTCCACACACAGCATAAATCAACACAAAATATCACCAACAGGTTTTAAAAACTACTTTTAGGAAACACCAATATTTTCTATGTACTTTTACATGAATATAAAGCCAAATGGAAAATTCCAAGGGGGTCACATGTAGAAGATGCTTAAAAGGAAAAAAACAAAACAAACAAAAAAACACCTCATTGCCATCGAGTTGATTCCAACCCATAATGACACTATAGGACAGAGAAGAACTGCCCTATAGGGTTTCCAAGGAGCAGCTGGTGGATTCAAACTGCTGACCTTTTGGTTAGCAGCCAAGCTCTTAACCACTGCGCCACCAGGGACTTTAAATTAGGAGGCTCAGAAGAGTCTAACTTGAACTCCTAAAGTCACCAGAATAGCTGATTGTCTAAAGGGAGAATTTAAAAAACAAAACAAAGAACCCAGGCTCAGTATATTATGACCACCTTATTGTACAGTTCCATTACAACTAAACCCCACTGGATCTGCCTTAAATTGCATTCCCCTGTTTAAGCACAGAAGAGTTCCTAAGTACTACTGAACGTTTTTCGAACCTGGGGGGGGGGGAACACCTCAAAACAACTAATTACTAGATTCAAGATGACTGAAGTACAAATTTGGTGTCTAGAAACCTATCCCAAAGGCAATAATTCTATATCGTTCAACACCTATTTCTTTTTTATTAGCAAATAAAATATCCTTTGAAATAACTGGTAGCTCCACCCCCCAACTTCCACGTTATAGTGTCACGATTGATACTGGGTACACTCCTGCACCAAAACAAGCCTTTGTTCGAGTCCTTCCCAAAGTCAGGTATTAAAAGTGATCATTCGTCACCAAACAAAGATACTTTTGGGCTGTAACCCAGGAGACTGGACATCTCAGTAGGTACTACTGTGGTGTTATCCTGGGAAAGTAATCTGTTTCTTTTACAAAGGCCAAGTGTGCCCTTGACAAATAGGAAGATGTTTTATACCCTATCTTCTAAATACTGTACGAGGTTAAGTTGTGTTAGAGGCGAAAAAAACACACAACAACAACAGTTAAGGTTCCTGGAATTAAACACCGTAAGCTTTTTATTCACCAGTCAAGGATCTTTCTTTTAAACAAAGTGCTTCAATTACAGTCTTCTGTATTTGATCAAAATCAGAAAAATGCTAAAGGCAATTCCCTTTCCAGGTCAGAACAGAAAACTAGGGAGAAAGAAATTTTTCTGCCAGGAAGCACACAGTACTTGTCAATAAGTACCATGACCCAAGAAAGATTTAAAAGGAAAATAACAAAAAGGTTATGATCTATTTGTTTTCGTTGGTTCCCCCTCTCGCCGCCCGCAGTGAGTGAATCAGGCCATTCCCGGGCTCCAGCCGCCAAATCTGTCCCCACATGGGAGAAAGGAAATCGCCCCTCTCTCGGCCTCCCGACCTTACCCAGCCTGCTGGCCTCATGGCGAAGAGGACCAAGGCGCCAGGAGCGGAGGCAGACAACAGGAGGCCGCGGGAGAGGCCAGCACCGGAGCAGGGCAGGCGGCGGCCCCTCACCCCCGCGCTGCAGCAGAGCCCCGTGCTAGCCCTGCTGTCCTGGGGGATGGGGTTGCAAGCAAGAGCTCGTCCTCCCTGGCACTGCCGCTGCTGCCTGGCCTAGCGGCGGTGGCACGAATAAGACGACAAGTTGTCGTCGGCGGGAGGGAGAGGAAGGGATCCGCCCTGCGAGCAAGACCCCGGGAGCCTAACCGCCACCGCCCCCTCCCCGAGCGCGCCATTTCCAGGCTCCGGCTCTCCAAGCGCCCCTCCCAGGCCTCCACGGGCCCCACCGGGCCCCTAGCTCTCACCATACCAGGGGAGCGCGGGAAAGCCGCCGCCCCGGAGTCCCCGACTGCGCCCGTCCCCCGCGCCTGGCCACGGCCCGCGCACGCTCGCCTCACCCTCTGCCGCCGCCGAAGCTGCTGTAGGCCCGATCGTCGTAGGTATCAAAGTCCGCCATTTGTCGTCTGCGCTCCGAGAGGAACCAGGGTGAGCGAGGAAGGACCCCGCAATATAACTCCCCCCGCCCCGCCGCGGGGCTGTCCGCCGCGCCGCCTGATCGCAAATCGCACGCACGCGCGCGCGCGCGCACGCACGCCGTGCCGCGCCCGGCCTGGGCCGCCGGGCCGCTCCTGGCCCCGGCGCGCTCTCTGGCACACGTGGTGCGGCGGCGCTTTGGCCTCGCGCCGGACTTCCTGCTCCGGCCCATTGTGTGCTAGCCTGACGGCCTCATCCGCAACCGGCTGTTGTCCAGCGCCCCGCCCCGACGTGGCCTTCAGCCCCCGAGGGAGCTTCCCGTGGCTGCCTCCGCGCTCGCTGACTGCACCTCTTCGGATTCGCCTTGGACTCTGCATAGTACCCGCTGCCCTCTCTACTGTTGGTTAGCTTTTCGAACTCCAGACCTGGCAGGAACCCCGGAGGCCTGCCCCGATACCCCTCTTTCCGGCCAGGTGGTCGCCCGAGAACACCAGAGTCACCTTCTCCAGGGTACGGACCACGCAGAGCTGGCACACGCTGAGAAAGCTGGGGTTAAAATCCAAGCGTCCGAGACAGTGGGTTGCAGAGATGAAATCTGCCTTCAAGGATCCACTCCCTTGCCTGGGTATTGAGGGTTTTGAGATTAGAGAGTGTAGGTTGTTAGTAAACTAGGAAATTGTTGGGCCGTAAAACAATTAAAACAATTCAATCCTGACGTGAATTCCATTGGATAGCAATTGGAAAGAAAGAATTTGCAATGCAGATTAATTAAACTGGCTAATTTCTCAGATTTGAGACTGAGATGGTAGTAATATCAGATACTCCTACCCTGGGGTGCACCAGTGTTGACAAGCTCTACTGTGTTTTAGGCCCAATTTAAAAGAATCTCACAGAATGTTCTTGCAGTGTATACCCAGGTATCTTACCGTTACAGAGTACTTTTATATATTAAGCATTTTCCACTACTTTATTCCAATACTGGGGTTGGCAAAGCAGCTATTAACTCATTTTTTGTTTTTCTATCCCTTTTTCTTTCCGAGTAAGAGAACAGGAACTTTGACATCTGGTAAGAGCTTGTTTGCTAACCAAAAGGTTGCTGGTTTGAACCCACCCAGTGGCTCCTCGAGGGAAAGACCTAACTATCTGCTCCCCTAAAGATTACAGCCTAGAAAACCCTATGGGGTAGTTCTACTCTGTTACATGGTACCTAACAACAACAACAGACTTAACCTGGATTCTGCCTCTTACTGGTTGTGACCTCACGCAAGCTCCTTCTCTAACAGTTAAGTTTTCTCACCTATCAAGGAATGACAGCACCTACTCTTCAATGTTGTAAAGATTAAATGAGTAAATATTTGTTAAATTCGTGGCACACAATAATATAAGGCATGTACTATGTGTCTGGTACCATTCTGGGTGTTTTACATTTATAATTTCCAAATTTATTTACAGCTGCGGAAAAGGCCCAGACTGAGCAAGTGACTTGAGTGAGATCACACAGCTTTGACCTCTTACACATGACTCAGAGAAGAACCAATGGTTTTTTCTCTTCCTCCACAGTTTAAACTTAGATCCCTCTTCTACATCCCTGCCGCATAACTCCATTAGTGTTAAAATGCACCTGAATGCATTTTAGGGGCAGTGGTGGTTCAGAGGTAGAATTCTCACCTTTCATGCAGGAGATCTGGGTTCGATTCCAAATCAGTATACCTTAAGCACCGTCACCACCTGTCTGTCAGTGGAAGCGTTGGTGTTGCTTTGATGCTGAATAGGTTTCAGTGGAGCTTCCAGACTGTCAGCCAGTGGAAACCCTATGGATCACAACAGTTTGATCCTGTTGTACATGGTGTCACCATGGGTTGGAGGCCAACTTGATGGCAGTTAACAACAACAAATGCATTTTATTTTTGTTTATTGTTGTAGTTTAAATGAAGTTTACATTTCAAGTTAGTCTCCCATACAAAAATTTATACATACATTGTTATGTGACCCTAATTGCTCTCCCTATTCTGTGACAGCACACTCCTCCTTTCCACCTGTGATTTCCCATGTCCACTCAACCAGCTCCTAACCCTCTCTGCCTTCCCATCTCACCTCTGGACAGAAGCTGCCCCTTTGGTCCCTTGTATCTACTTGACTAAGAGGCACACTCCTCACAAATATCACTTTATGTCCTCCAGTCCAGTCCAATCCCTGTCTGAAGAGTTGGCCTCGGAAATTGTTTTAGTTCTGGGCCAATAGAGAATCCAGGGGCCATGCTTTCCAGGGTTCCTCCAGTCTCAGACCATTAAGTCTGGTCTAATTACTAGAATTTGAGTTCTGCACCCCACCTTTCTCCTGCACCATCAGGGACTTTCTGTTGTATTCCCTGTCAGGGCGAACAAACACATTCTAGTAAGTGAAACCTTAGTAATTATTCTTGGGTAGCCTTATATTTTTTATTCCAAAGTCTCCTCATTTTTAGTCCAAAGTCACCTCAAGGTGATACCTGGAGGACAGGGACTGTGTAGAAGAGGTTCTCTCTGTTATCTCCCACAGAACCCCACAGGAGAGGAAAATGGGGTAATTTATTATTAATAAAGTAAAGGGAAGGAGAACTTCTGGGAAGGCTGGGCCTCCCTCAGCAGCAGCACCTCCATGGGTTATCCCCTCGCTCCTGGCTTAGTTGCCATTTCCATCCAGCCAGAACCCTAGCCCAATCACTTGGACCACACTCCCAGACTCCCAGAGTGTGAATGTGAGGAAATTGAAACTGACACATGGAATCTCCATCTATACATGATAAAAAAAAAAAAAGACAAAAATGTACCGAAAAATGTTTCCTTTGAAACCAAAACTAGCTTGCTAGCACTAAGTACACACAGACTTTGCAATATAGCTGAAAAGAAAAGATCTCCTGAAATATATCAAGTAAGAGATGGAAACGTTTGAAGAAGATGCTTCAGCTCTTGTGCCCCTCCTCCACCCTGTCTGTTTTTCATGTAGCAGTCGTGGTGTTCTGTCTAAAGCCCAAATCAGGTCATTTCACTCTGCTCAAACCCTCCTTTCTCACAGTGGGAGTCAAAGTCCTTACTGTGGCCTACAAGGCCAGGTGCGGTCTGCTCATTTTCCCCACCACGCTGGCCTCTTTGCTATTCCTCTAATACCATTGCTCTCCCACCTCTGCTCTCCCTCCGCCTGGATTACTCTTCCTTTGATGCCCCCAAGGCTCCCACCTTTTCTTCCTTTCTCACAGATCCCAATTGTTTCTCCAATACCCTGCTTGGTTTCTTTTCCTAGCACTTGTCGCCACCTGACTTATGTGTCTTCCCTGAAAACAGGGAGTTTGTTTTGCTCAGGGCCTGCATCATAGAAGGCGCTCAATAGTTGTTGCTTCGATGAAAACTAGAATCAGGCAGAAATATTTAGTTAGATTAAAACGATTTTCTCATCGTTTCCTCAACTTGGGTAGTGTAAAATTCTAGCAGTAGCGTCAGAACCTGTCTAACTTTAGAGGGGATAATGACCAGGATCAGCCCAAAGCTGATTACTATGAGGTGGAGGTCCAACATACTTTCACTCTCCCATCTTTTTACTAATTCTGACATCAGCCGTCTCCCACGACACTCTCTACTTCTGGGTTTGATAATCTGTTGAAATGACTACACTGAACTCACAGACCATACTTACATTTAAATGGTTTAGTAAGGAAGTAACAGGTACAACTTGGGATTAGGATCAGGAAGCATCTAGACAAAGCCTGGAAGGCTCTTTCAAAGAGGGGAGCACATCCCTTCTTTCAGTGTAGGACAGTTCTCTCAGCCATGCAAGCAAGCAAGCAAGTCCTTCTCTCTGCTGTACATGACTCCTCTCAGCCGTACAGGATTCCTCTCGGCCCTTTGAGGACAGACTTCCTCTCATCCTCATCAAGACAGGCCTTTTTGTCTTCTGCCTCCCTGCTGACAGCCTCTCACTGCTAACTGACCCAGCTCACAGCCAGTGGAGCAGTTTTGTTCAGCTCTCTTAGCTGCATTCCTAGCAGCAGGTTTCTGCTGTCACTGTCAGCTCTGCCACAGGACCGCTTTCAGGCCCTTGCTGTCTTCAGTGTTAGAGAGGTTGACCTGTGTTACAGCTCTTTTAGGAGTTTCCTTGCCTCCTCTCTCTGCTTCTCTCTTCTTGCCTGTCTTGCCTTTTCTACTTTCTTGCTTCTTTCTTCCTTCTTCTGTCTGGTTGACTGCATATACAGGTAGTCCCCAACTTACAATGGGGTTCCGTTCTGACGACTCTGTTGTAAGTTGGTTCTGACATAAGTTGAATACCTCAGGTTTTTTTTTTCATTATTATTGCCTTTTATTCTCAGTGTCTATAAATCTGATCTTTATTTCTCTTTGGGGGTTGGCCTGAGAATGATAATATCAGCAAATTATGTGTTGTAACTTTGTATGTAGTACATATTACTAAGAAGATGTACAAAAAAAAAGACATAAGTGCATTTTGTCATAACTCGAGTATGTCATAAGTCAGGGACTACCAGTATAAGCAAACTTCTGGCCAATTTCAAGGCATGGTCCTCCCACCAGGACCAAAAAACTGATCAGTCCCCTCTCAGTAGGCTACAGATGTTTCATTTGCATAGTAGGCTATAGTCACTTCATTTGCATAAGTATATTGACCAATCCCACCACTCGTCTGTCAGCTTGTCATACTGTGGTGGCTTGCATGTTGCTGAGATGCTGGAAACTATGTCACCAGTATTTCAAATACCAGCAAGGTCATCCATGGTGGGTAGGTTTCAGCAGAGCTGCTAGACTAAGACAAGCTAGGAAGAAGAACTTGGCAGTCTACTTCTGAAAAAATTGGCCAGCGAAAACTTTATGAATAGCAGGAAAACATTGTCTAATATAGTGGTGGAAGATGAGTCCCTCAGGTTGTAAGGCACTCAAAAGATGACTGGGGAAGAGCTGCCTCTTCAAAGTAGAGTCAACCTTAATGATGTGGATGGAATCAAGCTTTTGGGGCCTTCATTTGCTCAAAATGAGAAGAAACAGCAA